CCCCAAAACCCCAAAACCCCAAAACCCCTTCTTATATTTCGGAAATTGGGTTAAATCATTTTAGGATCCAAATAAAGCTGATAGCTGACTGAAGGTGAGTCCAAAGCATCTATTGGTGTCTATAGAGGCAAGATTAGGCACAGGAAAGTCAAGGGATAGAAGGAATACGTAGTTTTGCATTTCAGCAATTTTTAGTAAAAGAAATGAAAGAAATTTCAAATGACTGTTGCTTTATTTTTTATGAGGAAATCTATAATGGGCTCTTAGCCATAGATTCTCCTAAATTTAATTCTTGCTTACTCAATATATCTAATAGCTTTAATGAAGCTAAGAGTCCATCTTGATTTAGTTTCTTGGTGTTTACCCAACAATTCGTTTATAACAAGGAATGTCAAATGAACAGATTCAGATTTAGAAGCTAATACCTCAGGCACTTTAGTAGCTATACTATCAGAGCTGATACCCAAAAGAGGTAAAATACTGGAATCAAAAGAACCATCAGGCTTCTGGAGCATGACTAATGATAAATAATCAGGAAGGGTTGGGAGCACAAGACCCTCATCGTCAGCATTTGGATCGGATGGAGCTTCGGAACCTCCTCTAAATTTCAAAACCATATGAATTTTGTCTCCATCTTTGATACCGAAACTATCAAGAGTATCTTGTCCTTGAAGTAACTGTCCTGCAAATACAAATCTTTGTTTCTCCTTTGGTATTCCTTCAATGATTTCGATTGTTGTTTTCAAAGTCTCAAACGTATCTGAGCTTTGAAGGTAAACGTTGATTCTCTTCCCTGTGAGAGTTATGACAGTGATTTCCATGTCAAATACCTTAACAAAGAAGTCAGTGATCTCTGTATAATCCGAGTCCGGAGATGCGATAGGCTTCCTTATTTCTAAATAAAATTAGATCGATATAATTATCATCATACCTATCTGAGATGTGTATCTTGTTGGCTTCTGATACTCTTTGGATATGTCAATGATATCTTGACGGCTGAAATACTCAATACTCTCAAGTTCTTTAATTTTGTTTGCTGCAAACATTTTGAAGATAGAGTCTCCATTGATGAAAGTAGAGTCCTTCTGTAAGTCAATTATATATTCTGTAGTTTCTCCTGAAGTTGTGGATACTTCATAAGTTATTGACCCTTCTAATTCTCCTTCAATGCTATCTATGATTGAGAAAGATGTCAAGTGTTCTCCATTGTAAATGTATCTGCCTGAATCTTTTTCTACTAAAGATTCAGTTTTGAAATTCCCATTTATTGAAGTATTCTTTCTTCTTACGCCAACTCCACCGTTGACACATGATAATAGGATATGATTGATGCCTGTTTCAATATCATTCATGAAGTCTCCGGCAAGGAAATACTTTCCATTTCCAGCATTTGAACATTCTGCAGCAAAGTATTTGTTTGCAATTTCTCCAACTCCAACTATATGGAAGGTGAAAGAAGATGAATTTCTCTTAATAAGCTCAATTGTTTCTTCTCTGTCAAGCCAAAGTCTGAGGTCAGTAACCATAATTACATGCTTTGGGAGTTCTTGATTTTCTCCGTTTTGAGAAAACACATGTTGAAGAACTTTCTGAGTATCTGAGTTTTCTAAGTCGGCTTTGAAATCTTCAATTTTTCTAATTGCTTCGTTGATATTTTCTTCAGAGTTCAGATAAGATTCTTCAAATATCTGCTCGTGTTCAGTTCCAAAAGACACCACATTGAAAAGTGAGTTCTGAGGAAGACTTTTAAGTCCAAGTATTACACCATGCTTTGCTTTTTCAATAGATCTTCCTCTCATTGATGAACTTCTGTCGAGAATGAATATGAATTCAGCAGGTTCCAGCTTGCCATGAAACTCTTTAGGATATTTGATGATTGAATCTGCTTCAAGCTTTGTCTCTTCATTCACCACTGTGTCTTCAGTGGTGGCTCTCACATCTGCTAGCATAGAAACCATGAGAGCATACTCATTGTTTTTCTTTTGCAATAATACAATTGGCTTGTTGATCTGATCGTTTCTGTAGAGCATAATGAAATCTTTGTTGAAAAATTGGTCAATTTCAGTTTCAAGTAGCTCGATTGTAGCATTATGACAGTTAGAGTCCAAGAAATCAACTTTTATTTCATGGGAAGGGCTCATAGCTTTTTGGATTGGACTTTGTGAGCTGATTTGAACAGAGAAATTCCAACTGAAAGATGAAGATTGGTAATAGCTTAGGGCTTGATCGAACAAATTCTGGAGTTTATCTTCATCTAAATCCGGATGCATATCAGCTATGCATGCCTTCAAATGATCCTCATTAACAGTTTGTTCTGTGAGAGGTCCTTGAGATCTTGGAATCAAAGAGCTTGGAATTTTTAACTGCCAGCTGAAATCCTCTAAACACTGAGCACCGCTCCAAAATTCCTAGGCTTAAAGACACAAGTCTTATCTCTCTAATCACCTACCTGTACTCAAGCACTGATGAAACATACACTTGACCACTACAAAAGTTTCTATTGCTATTTCTCCTAATAAAATCCTATACAAATTTCTTATTTGCTTTACCTGTACTCGTCTTCTGGGTGACCTAGCTCCTTGACGATCTTCTGCTCATCTTCTTCTAAGATATCACTCTTCTTCTTGTACACAGGCAGTTTCTGGTCCTGGACTCCTCCGATAAGTGGGTCACCCTTGGCTGTAGTCGTGACTACCTGGTCGGCGAACCTGGCCTCAAAGGAGGCCAGGTTCCAGCCAGGGAGAAGAGGTACGGTGAGGAAGCATCTTGGGGAGCCAGAGCAGTAGTAGTACTGTGTAGAGGTCATGCAAGCGAGGGATTCAATGATGCTGATCGAGGTGTTGGTGTGGTAATGAAATTGTCTGATGTTCATGCTAGATTCTTGGCCTTCCATAATCCCTTGAGTGCTTTGGGTATTTTCCATTTTAGCAAAGGTTTTTTCTTATTCATTCTAATTTTCTTTTATAGGGGTTTTGGGGTTTTGGGGTTTTGGGG